AGCCGCTGTGCAGCTAGTGTGAGGCTGGCCGTCTACTGCAGAAGGAGACTCACTGTATCCTGCCCCCGCCCCCCCCCACCGCGCGCCCCCCTCCCGCTCCGCGCGCCCCCTCCGTGCCGCCGCAGCCTCCTTGACTCCCCACCCATGCCCAGCGGATGGCCCGGAGCAGTGCGAACTGGTACAGAGACCGAGATACCGGAGAGGTCCGCACATCTGCTTCGACTACAACGCGACGGTGAGGGGGGCGCGACGGACTTGACACCCGCTCCCCTCCCCCAGGGCTGGCGCTGCCCGGGGCCCTACCCTGCCCCAGAGGCCCAGGTCGACCAGCTCCTTGTCTCTTCCCGCAGGAAGATACCTCAGACTGCGGCCGCGGAGCCTCCTTCCCGCCGTCGCTGGGCGTCTTGGTCTCCCTGCAGCTGCTGCTGCTCCTGGGCCTGCCTCCCCGGCCGCAGCCTCAAGTCCACGCCCACGCCTCACGCCGCCTCTAAGCGCCAACCCCCTCCCGCTCCAGGCCTCCCTGCCTTTGCCCTGCTCCCTGCCCCACACTTCACACCTTAGATCCTCGCACCTCCCTCACTGAAGGACCTGAACTGCACCAGGCCCGAGAGCCTTGGAGTGGGTTCCCACAGGAGGGCGCCACAGGCCTTTGGCCCCCAAGTCACAACTTGCTGCTGTCAAAATGTCCCCAGACCCCTCATTCCCACTGGACTCACCCACCCCCAGGGCTGGAACAGGGAAGCCACAGTACTGGTGCCAAACCAGGCCTCACTGCCGGCGCTGCCTGGGGCGGGGGACGGAGGGGGGCCTTTGTATGGGAGAACTAAGCCCTGCCCCAGCTGGACTCCTAACCTGGCCCTTCCGCCCCTCCTAGGACAGTCTGAATCCCCTGGGAATGAAGGAGGGAGTTGAGGTGGGTGGCTTGAGGCCTGTGCAGCCCAGCTTAAGTCTTAGCAGGAGAGAGGTCCTGGGGCAGCCCCCCGATGGGCTCCTGTCCCTCTCAAGCCTACATCCTCCTCCCCATCCCTCGAGCCCTGCAGGTGTCAAAACAGTGACAGTAACACTGGCTCAGACACAACCCCAAACACACCTGGAGCCCTGAGGGCAGAAACTGAACTCACATTAGACATGCCCTGGAGGACACACACACACACACACAGACTCCCAGGGGTGGGGGGAGGGGCTCACAAAGCCTTACACAGGGCAAGGGGCTGGTGGGAGGGTTGGCACGTGCACACTTCCATCTCCTGCTCACTACCCGCCTCTAATCTGACCTGCAGCCCAGCTCGTCCTCCATCTCTAAAGCTGAATGTCAAACAGTGCCAAATGCTGGGACAGTGGGTAAAGACCCCTCTGTCCCACCCTAGCCGCCAGTGTCTCCTAAATGCCCCTTCCCCCTCCCCCAGGTGCTCATTGTAACCATTTCTCACTAGTGTCAGGCCTCCAGTGGGACCACATGCCACTGCCTGCACCCCTCGGCAGAGGAAACCCCACCAGACATCGCCCTTTGCCTTAGCAGGAGTGATTGGATTGCTCCTGCCTGGGCCATCCCACCCCTAATCTGGCCCTTACACACTCAGGCCTGTGCCCACGTCCTGTCACCTTCCCACTCACACACATACTCCCTGCCCCCAGGAGGTCAAACTGTACCTTTTTTTTCACACTTACGCACACATACACACATATACACACACTGTGCACACAGAGGCTGGGCCTGGGCACAGCTCTTCACACCATTCATTCTGGTCATTTCTCCCAAAGGCATCCCAGCCTGGGGGCCGGTGGGGGATTGAGGGCAGGGGGATGTGGCCATGGGGTTCAGATGGACTGGGAGGAGGGGGGAGGGTGATGCATTAATTAATGGCTCCGTTAATTAATGTCATGTTGCTTGTCGCTTTCTCAGTGTGTGTATGGTCCATGCCCGCTGCTGGTGCCAGGGTGGGCGCCCATGCTGTACACCCAGCCTAGATGCCAGCCGTGTCTTGTGGGGGCGTGTGTGTAACTGTAGTGTAGTCAGGTGCTCAATGGAGAATATAAAAATAAAAAGAATCAAACATATACAGAAAAATAAATATATATTTTAAGTTTAAAAAACAGAAAAACAGACAAAACAATTCCCATCAGGTAGTTGTCTAATCCCCAGCTGGGTCTGATCCTGCTCATCACCCACCTGACCTGGCGGCCCCCTCACTTTGGGCTCAGGGGGTCTGTGGGGGACTGGGGGGCCATTTCCTTTTCTCTGCCCTTTTTTTTGGTTGTTCTATTTTGTACAGACAAGTCGGAAAAACAACAGCGACAAAAAAGTTAAGAAACTTTGTAAAATACTGTGTGTGTGATTCCTTGTAAAATATTTTCAAATGGTTTATTACAGAAGATCAGTTATTAAATAATGTTCATATTTTCACTTCAAATGGTTCCCATCCACTGTGTCTGCCCTGGGATGAGGATTGGGTAGCTTGAAGAGACCCACTTAGCACTCAGCTGGGAGTGAAGGCCATAGCAATCCGGGACCTGGGTGGGCGCAAGGCCTCCTGATTTAGGCAGGCATCCCGCCATCGGGTCAGGCCACTGGTCTAGTGGGCAGGTCCTCCACCCAAAGCAGAGAGTGTACCAGGCCTGAGTCCAGGCCCTGGCATCTGAAGGCCCAGTGCTGCTGTCTGGAGAAGCCAGGATCTGGTCTACCTATAAGCATGACCGCCCAGGGGAGGCTCAAGGCCCTGTGCTCTGTGGCCACTGCTGCTCACACTGGACCCCAACTCGGTCAGTTTCTGCAACTCCTCTCAGGCCTCCCTCCAGCCAGCCTTACACCCTTGTTCATTTTAATCCCAACTCTCAATAGTCACCCCTAGTCTGTGCGACTGAGTTCTTTTCAAGGTAAAATACATAACCACCAATGCAGAAGTTTCCCGATGCTGCTGACACTCTCTTACAATACTCAGCACTCGCCCAGTGACAGCCAGCTGAGTCCTCACCACAACTTTAGAGTTGGGTACTAGTTTATCCCCATACTGCAGATGAGTAAAGTGAGAGAGGATAAATCATATTTCCCTGGATGAGAAAAGCAAGAAATCAGCAAAGGTTTCAGAGGAGGTGGCCTGGGGCTCGAGCAGGGGCAGGGAGGGGGGATCTTAGATGGTTAAAAAAAAAAAAATGGAGGAGAGAATTCCAAGCCTTAGAGAAGACACCTTTCCTCACTCTCTGCAGAGGCTGCCCACTGAGCGACGCCTAACTAGCAACCCCTAAGACAGCCCCCATGCCCTGACAATGTCCTGGAAGTCCTGGGGTAGGGCTGCCAGATAAAATACGAAACATCCAATCAAATTTGAATTTCGGATAAACAACGAATAGTTTTTAGTATGTTTCCAATATTGCATGGGACATAACTATACTAAAAAAATGAGAGATATGCTTATACTAAAAAATTATTCGTTGCTTATCCAAAATTCAAATTTCAGCACCCTCTATTTTAATTTGCTAAATCTGGTAACCCTATCTTGGGGTGGCACCTAGTGGGAACCCACATACCAGACAAAGATAAAGGGTGTCAACACCCTCTGTAATCTAGAAGGCTACACACACAATGGCAGATCAGTGCCTGAAAGGAAGGGATTCTGCACTTTATAAATGTACTTTGTCATATAACTATTTTATAGATATAGGCACATTTTTAAAAAGTAACCCAAGACGATCGGTTTGCACAGGACAAAACCTGCCAGAAGCCACCGTTGCAGTGAAGCGGGGACCCAGGGCCAGTCTTATCCAAGTTTGTGGGGAGACCTCTTTTCCTCTGAGCCAGCAATCAGAAGTTCGTGGTGGGGAGGAGAGTCACTGAGAGCTGCCAAGCCTTGCCTCTTTGGGGGCAGAAGACCTGAGTTTGAGTCGCGGCTCCAGATTACATGTAACAAGGGCAGCGTGGGCAACACACTCGGCACCCAGGGTGAATTGGCATTTTATACTGCATTCTCCATGGACCCTCACAGTAGATCCTGTCATCATCTCCATTTTACAGTCCATGAAACTGAGTTTCAACAAAGTTCAGGAATCTGGCGAATGTCACACAGCCACCAAATGGCAGAGCAACAATTCCAACCTGGGTGACATCTCATACTTACAACACAACCTAAGTCGGCATGTGCCAGGACCATCCAACGTTCTTATCTACACTCCTGCCCACAATGACGCACCCATTCAGATACACATGCACAGGGAGCCACTCCTTCCTGAGAATTCAGCAAGCGTGTGAACTGCTGTTGTGGTGCCGCCGGTACCCGCCGCTTTCCCAAGGTCAGCGATGCTCCTTCACCCACTCCCACCTCCCGAGAACCTGCGCAACCGTTCCTGAGAACTACAACTCCCAAGCACATCCTCCACTCGCCGCCTACAGGAACGGCCTGAGCGCACAGCCTCCTGGGAATTGTAGTTCTACCCAGAACCCTGGCTTCCGCTCGTCCAGTTTCCGCGGAGGACTCGGTGTCCCAGCCTCCCAGCGATCCGGAAGACCTTCGCTAAGAGGGCATCCCGCTGCCGCCCGGGGTGCGCAAGCGCAGCGCTCCTGTTTGTCGGCGCTTGAGAAGGGAGGAGGTACGATCGAAGCCGAGACTCAGGCCGAGCCGGAGACGACTAGACTTGATTTGGGCCCAGAACTAGGCTCCAGTCCTTCAGGGACCGCAGGACCCCGGAGTGGATGGAGTAGGCCCAGCCCTGAGATTGACGCCAGCCCAGGTGGCCTGGCGCGGGGCCCACAGGGCAGGCGGGCAGGCGGAAGCCTTCCGGGGCCTTCCCTCAGGTCCCCGGCGAGGGCCCTAGGCCCCGGCCCCCGACCAGGCCCGGCTCGGCACTTTGGGACCGGAGCTGACCCAACCAGAAGTGGAGCCTTCACCGGGGCCATAGGCCAGTGATTAGGCCGGCCCTGGGCCTCCCGTCGGGGCCGGACTGGTACGAGGCCCCGGGGAGGCCCCCAGCCCACTAGACCCTTCCCTCAGGCCAACGCCCGCCGAGAAGATGCAGCGCGCCCTACCCGGCGCCCGCCAGCACTTGGGGGCCATCCTCGCCAGCGCCAGCGTGGTGGTGAAGGCTCTGTGCGCGGCGGTAATCTTCCTTTACCTGCTGTCCTTCGCCGTGGACACGGGCTGCCTGGCGGTTACCCCAGGCTATCTCTTTCCGCCTAACTTCTGGATCTGGACCCTGGCCACCCATGGGCTGATGGAACAGCACGTGTGGGACGTGGCCATCAGCCTTGCCACAGTGGTGGTAGCTGGACGTCTGCTGGAGCCCCTTTGGGGGGCCTTGGAGCTGCTCATCTTCTTCTCAGTTGTGAACGTGTCTGTGGGGCTGCTGGGGGCCTTTGCCTACCTCCTCACCTACATGGCTTCCTTCAACTTGGTCTACCTTTTCACTATCCGCATCCACGGCGCCCTGGGCTTTCTAGGTGGTGTTCTGGTGGCACTCAAGCAAACCATGGGGGACTGTGTGGTCCTGCGCGTACCCCAGGTGCGCATCAGCGTGGTACCCATGCTGCTGTTGGGGCTGCTGCTGCTGCTACGGCTGGCCACGCTGCTCCAGAGCCCAGCACTGGCCTCCTATGGCTTCGGGCTGCTTTCCAGTTGGGTGTATCTTCGCTTCTATCAGCGCCATAGCCGAGGCCGAGGGGACATGGCCGACCACTTTGCGTTCGCCACCTTCTTCCCTGAGATCCTGCAGCCTGTGGTGGGGCTGTTGGCGAACTTGGTGCACAGCCTCCTGGTGAAGGTTAAGATATGCCAGAAGACGGTGAAGCGCTATGATGTGGGGGCCCCATCCTCCATCACCATCAGCCTCCCGGGCACAGACCCTCAAGACGCGGAGCGGAGAAGGTACTGTGGAATCTTCTGAAACGTTGTTGAGCTAGGAGTGTATTTCTTAAGTCACATTCCATCCATCAAGGTATTTGTTGTCTATAGGCTGGCAGCCAAGGGTCAGGTGTTGGAGCAGAATCTGGAAGAGATCAAATCCGGTTTGTGGCCTTGAGGAACTCAGCCTTTAGGTGTCTGGGTTCCAGTAGGTGCTTTTCAACATTAGGGAATGTTGCTCTTCTCACCACTCAGGCTGCTTAACAAGTCTCAAGAAATGTGCAGTTTCCTTTGGTGCTGTGTGAGGAGCTGATGGAGAGCCAGGTACACACATAACCCTGCTCGTGCCTCAGAACCTTGGAATCCTAGACACTGGTTCTGTGGGAGCCAGAAACAACCTGCTGGTCCTTGAGAAGGAGGAACAGAGAAGGAGACCTGGGATCCTTAAGAGGCAGTCTGGGCCACCCCAATTTTCAGTTGCTGAACCATGTCCTCCTCCTGGATCCTGTGCTTCTTATTGAGGGGGAAGCTTGGGGCATTACTAGACTTACCCCGCCCTCCTGCAGGCATGTTACCAAACCCAGGGGACAGGCCACGTGACCCCAGGGAATGGAGACACCCCTTCATTATCTGTAAACCTAGCTATTTGCAGAGGCCTTAGCTGAGTTATTCACTCAGTGTACCCTGGCCAGGGCAGATCTTTTTCCAGCTCTTTCTCTCTCCCTGGTCTGTTGCCCCACCAGGGTGGTCACAGCTCTGTTTGCACCATTATTCTTGGGTTGTTTTGAGGCAATTACTTGAGTAATGATATCTGGAGCAGACTCTGTTCCGACTTGCTGCATTTGTCGCAGGCTTCTATTTTTCCTCACCTGTGGAATGGGTTCTTGGCAACTTTATGAATTCAGCTGAAGAGCTAGCCCTGTGCTTACTATCCACTGGGTCTGTGGAGCTGAGGGACACATCCTTTTCTTGAAGGAGTTTCCAGCTGAGGAAGGGCCACAGATCACTACGGTCCAAAGTGGCAGGTATTACAGGGCATAATTAGGGCCCTACAGTTTGCGCCCCTGTGGCTGACGAATCCTAAAGGTGGAGGTCTGTCTTAACCTCATCCAGCAGAGGAGATGGAGCCAGGATGGCTGGGCCTGGTAGAAACTGCTGTCTTCAGAGCTATTCGGGTAGGGTCAGGCCCCAGTGGCAGCTCCTCTTCCAATGAGGGGTCTTAGATTGTTAGGTTTGGCAGGACACTCAAAACAGCTTTGCTCAGGCCCAAGAAAATAGCCTGGTGGATGCAGACCGGGGGGCGTCAGGATGTGGCACAGCCTTGTGGTTGTGAGCTTACTCTTGGATGGGGGTTAGTTACTCCTCCAATCACTTTGACATCTGGCTGCATGTCACTCCCAGACACGAAGGGCTACTAGTAGTGGGACCCAGGGTTTCTTATCTTTGACAGTTATGAGGAAATGACTAGCAAGCCACTCTCTGCCTCGGGAGGCCTTTGACAGAATCGACAGGCAATCTCCAGGATGGGAGCCTGGGTAGCAGCAGAGGAAGACTATCTTGTCTGTGCCAACTTGCCATGTGCCAGGCTGGAGCACAGTGGAAGTATGCTGCGATTTTCTGTCCCCATGTCATTGTTGCCTCCCCATCATGTTCCCTGGCACGGTAGAGATCTTGCTTCTCTGCTGGAACAGGCTGTCTCCCATGCTGGTCGCACAGAGAGGTGGAGGCATCAGGGGTCCACGGTGGTACCACGTGCACAGAGAGGTGGAGGCATCAGGGGTCCACAGTGGTACCACGTGAACTTTCCCACCTCCCGCAGAATGGGGTCACCGGGGGTCTGCCCAGAGAACCAGTGCCCTACCCATGTAGGCTGTTTGTCCTTCCTCTCTTGCTACAAGGACTCAATGTGTCCCTACCATAACACAATCCTGGTGGCTTTGGGGATTCTTCTGGGAAAGAGAATATTAGAATCGGTTAGGAGTGGGCTGACCCACGTTGGCCCTGCTTCCCAGGCTAAGAGCCAAGGCAGGTGCTTCAGTCCCAGCCTTCCCCACAGACCCTTGCCAGGAGGCTCAGAACACCCCCAGTAAGGAGCAGGGAGTAGTAATTACCTTCTCCAGGGATGCCAGTGCCCAGGCAGAAACTCCCGTATCCAGGGACTTGGCCTTCTATCCATCTACCCTGGAGCACCAGCTCTGCCACCCCTATGCACCACCCTCAGAACCATTCCTGGTGGGCACTCTGGTAGACACCCAGCTGGCCTTCTCAGCCTGGAGGGGCCCCAGCTATGGAGGGAAGGCTCTACAGCCTTGAGATCCTCATTCTGATGGCAGAGTGGACCCTGATCCAAGCCCTGAGGAACCCTGGGCCCTGCACGAGAAGGGGAACACATAGGCTTCTGAAGGGTTCTGAGAAAGGGATCCGAGTGGTAAGGGGCGGCAGCTTCATGAGGGCAGAGTCCAGGGATGAGCCAAGTCCAAACCCAGAGTGACCTGTCATCTTTCCTCTGGCCCCAGGCAACTGGCCCTGAAGGCCCTCAATGAGCGACTGAAGAGAGTGGAGGACCAGTCCGTCTGGCCAAGCATGGACGACGATGAAGAGGCTGGGGCCAAGATGGACAGCCCCCTGCCCTCAGACAAGGCCCCCACACTCCCAGGGAAGGGGGCTGCCCCAGAATCCAGCCTGATTACCTTCGAGGCAGCTTCCCCGAAGCTGTAACTGCAGACCACCTTGAGTTTAGCACCTCCTCTCCCCAGCCCCCCTTGACACCCTCTCAGCTACTCTAGGGCACTGACTGCTCTGAGAGGGACGATGGCCTGCTAGGGGTTTTCACGGCCTTCCGCTATTTCTCGCCAACACTACCCAGGACTTTTGCTACCTGGTTCCAACTCTAGACAACCACTATGTCAGGCATGGGGCCTCTGAAGTATCAACCAGCCCACGCCATCTGAGGTAAGACTGAGCCTCAGCCCCAAGCAAGAGGCTGCAGGGACACTGCTGCCACAGCTCCTGGGCCAACCTTCACACCTGATACTGGTTGCCGAGAGCCTTGAGCCAAGGCAAGGACTTGCCAAAAACATTCTGGGGGTCCAGCCAGTGCAGGAGCCAGCACAGGGCTGCACGTCCCCGCCCACCCCCAGAAGGACTGTGTTCATGTCAAGATTTCTGGTTCCCTCTGCTGTGGTCACGGCTGCTTCTAGGCCAGAACAGCCACAGCTCCCAGGTATTTTCTACAGGACCACTGGAGTGGGCAGCCGAGCCCAGCCGCGCAGTATCAATAAAGCAGTTCTTTGAGGTATGACTCCCGGGCTCTGTCAGATCACCTTGTGCAGCCCCTCCCTCCATCATGCTCAACTGCAAAGTTAGAGACTTCAGGTTCAAGGGCTCAGTCCCCACAGCAACTCCTGCTGGATAAGCAGCCATCGCCCTCACTCTCCCTCCCCATCACCACTTGCCCACTGCCAAGCAGGCGTCCCAGAGCTGTTACCTCACTTTCTCTCCCTGCCCAGGGGATCTGACAGTTGAGGGCCTGTCATAAGAATCGTTCTTATCCATGGCTCACCTCCAAGACAGTGCTCAATGCTTGACACTTATGGAGGCAGCCCATCTCCAGCTGCCATCCTGCCATTGTCCAGATCTAACCCCACAGAATGAGACTCCAGCACAGTGGGCAGCTGGAAGACCAAAGGACACACGGTGGTACCATCCACAACCACAGCCCTAGGGCCTGCGAGGGCCCTGAGTGGCATGGGACACTCAGCAGCCAGATCCTGGGGGCTTGTGTGCTGGGAGAGCTTCGGCCTCTCGGTGAGCAGCCAGGGGTGGGGTCCCGCCCTTTGTTCATGCTAATTGCATCAGCGAGAACTATCCCCAACTCTGGGCTATTCCCCCCATCCGGTCTTTTCAGTCACTTTTTTATTTCACTTTTTTTTCTCTTGTAATTTCTGGACATACCAGTACAAGTATGAGTTGAGTTGCTGGGGAGGCAGTCTTGACACCCAGCTTCCTCCAGACACGTGATCCATTAGCGCCGCAAGAGAGGAGACAGGAGGCACTCCAGTGTGAGAAGCAATGTCACACACGGATGTCACACACAGGACTCCTACCAGAGCCCCAGTGCCTGAGGTGTCCCTGTGACCTAGTCAGCTGAGAAAGTCCAGGTGGTCCCAGCCCCAGTTCCTGCACTGATGGGCAAATTCAGGCTTCCAGGCTGAGAAGAGCTCACGGCTGAATCCTCTTGCGGTACAAGTAAGCATTGCTTACCTGGTTCATGATGACCAAGCTGGTAATAACGGGGCATAGCACAGCCAGGTACCAGACCCCACCAGTGACAGTGGCAGTGAACCAGAGCGAGCACATGCCCAACAAGAGGCTGGCACTACCCAGAAGGTAGCCCACTAGCCCAGAAGTGGCATGGTACAGCTTGAGCTTGGCCAGGGGCCATCGGGGCAGCAGTTTGGGGTAGAGCAGCCCCACCCCACCTGAGCACTGCAGCCCTGCCCACAGCACAGCTAGCAGCCCTGCCCTCCCATGCCATGTGGCCAGGTGGCCTTTGCCAAGCTGTTCCTTGTGGAGGATGACAAGACCCAGGCCCAGCAGTGCACACAGAAGGGCCAACAGCTGCAGTACCCAGTGGCAGCGTGCTCGGCCTTTCCGCGAGAGGGAGCGCAGCAGCGAACTCTCAGGAGAGAATACCAGCAGTGCCTCCGTCATCAGGAAAGAGAACTGGGGAGACAAGAATGAGAAACTAAGTGAGTCCTGCCCAGCAGAAGAGAAGAGGGATTTAGATAACCTAAGCTGCCCATCAATCTGGGCTGATTCCCCTCCATTCTCTCCCCACTGACAAAAGTATCCATTTATTGGGGCTGACATTGAGACCTCCATCTGGGACAGAACACCTGCCCTAAGTAACCAGCAAGGGGTACCCTTCCATACTTCTTCCTAGGCGCTGTTCTGAAATGTCATCTCTGCTATTACCCCAGAAAACACAAGGTTTGAGATGTGCACTTATAAATGATTCACAAGCCTTGTTTCCCCAAACGGGGCTGGATACAATTTCTTGGTAGAGCTGGCCAAGCGGGTGCACTGTGTCAAGGAAAATTAGATGCATCGCTATAAGTTAAAAAGGGACAGAGTTACAACCAAATGTGTTTTCTAAGCTTCCTGCCTGAAGGTGGGTGAGGGCTCATTTTGTGCTTAGACAAACCTTACCCATTTGCCCTGGGTCTTCAATACTCTAGTTCAAGTCTAGGATATAGACCGTGAGCAGGAGTTGGAGCATGCAACTCCTCCAATCCCACATCCCATCCCTCCAGACATATTAAATGACCATAAGGATTCAGAGGCTACAAGGGCCACCACCCATACCTATGCTCCTTCCCACCCCTAAGAGCTGGCCAGGCCCACTACTTACAGCCAGAGACATAAGCACGGGGTGCCAGGAGAACAGACCTGGAACGAGAAGAGGAGGGCTTGTGAAGCTGAGGAAGGACTTGTGAAGCCACACCAATACCTACGGGCTGAGGAATATGAGTAGCCCATCGCCCAAGGAAATGCTGCCAAAATGCGAGCCCCCTTCCCACCAAGTGGAGCACCAAGGCGAGGAAAGAGAAGCCAGGTATGTGGGGCCTGGCCAAGCTGGCAGACCCCCCACATTCCTCTACTCCAGCCCACTTATCCTTCCAGCATAGCATGTCCCTCAGCCAGACCTTTCTCAGGAGTCAGGCCCAAGACTTCCTATTGCCCCTACTCCCCAGGTAAATATGGCAATTATCTCCCCAGAAGTTAACTGTTAATTATACTTACTGGAGCCAGGCCTAGCAAGCACAGCCACAAAGATGGTGAAACCAAGGGCCACAAGGTGAGCAGCAGCCCCAGAGGCAGTGCGCAGGGCTCTGTAGATGTGCGACTCAGTCTCCACCGAAAGGGCCATGGTCAACCAGGCCAGTGGCTGTAGCCTGAAAACATAGTAGAATCAGCAAGGATCTCCGATGCCCACTGTCCACTCTTCTCACTGGAGCAAGAGTTGCAGGTCTGGAATGCCACTCTCTTCCAAGATTTTAAGGTAGGAAGGGACAGTATCAAAACATGCACCAGAAATAGTAGAGGACCGGCGGCCTGTCAGCATGTACCTGCACCTGAACTGGCACTGATCACTTGCCCACCTTCCAGGTAAGATGCGCAAAGCTGTGTAATAGACTACAAATCCCCGCGTGCATCACGCCGTCGCCAGGCGAGAGAGCCAGCTGGAGCGGCATGAAGCACCACGGGAATTGTAGTTCCCAGCTGCGACAAACTTGCAGCCTGAATCCCTTCGCGCGCAGCCTTCTCACGTGCCGCAGGCGCGCTGCCCCTACACGCTAGGGATTCGCCTGCCTCACCCGCAGCGCCGACCCGATGCGGTGGTTTCCTCCTGAGAAAGCGGGATACTTGGGGCACTGCCGCGCGCACCGCCGCTCCGTCGCGGCGCCGCTTCACTTCCGGGTGTGATGTCTACCCACCCGGGATTTCCTGGGACGAGCCCCCTCCGCAGCCACACCTCCGCGTCGCGCTGCGCAGGCGTTGTCGATCGGACGGCTTCACGGTGTGTGAGTGCGCAGGCGTGCTTGACCCGACAGCCGAGGCCTCCGAGTTTTTCTTTGAAAGGTGTTCCCAGGGATCCCGGCGCTTGGAGCCACGGTCCTGGGTCCCGCTAGTGCCATGGGCAGCGGCTGCCGCATCGAATGCATATTCTTCAGCGAGTTTCACCCCACACTGGGACCCAAGATCACCTATCAGGTGCCATCCGGGCTCGCGGGGCTGAGGGGCGGGGGCGGGAAATTGGGACGCTTTCGGGAGCTCAGCCCGCTGCCTGAAAGCGGTGGATCCCCGTTCTCGTGCAGCGTGCAGTCCCGCCACTCCTTCATTAGCGGATAATCGTAAACCGAGAGGATACTCAGACCCAAGTCTCAGGCTCCCGTGTGGCGGGCCAGACAAACATCACAAAAGCAGTGATTATGGAAAATCGGGCTGTGGGGATCCAGGGAAGGTACCACGTCCCTCGAGAGGTGGGGATAGGTGATCCACTACTATCCCCGGATGCACAGGAATTTAGGTGACGGGGGAGAGAGTGTGCCAAGTAGAAGGAACAGCATATGCAAAAGCCAGGAGGCAAGTGAGAACATAGCATGTGTTTGGAAACACAAAAAAGTAGTAGTCCTGGGTGGATGGGAGAGAGGAGTAACGCTGGAGAAGAGGGCTTAGGCCTTGGGGTTTTACTGTTTACTCTGCCTAGTCCCAAGGTCTACTAAGGAGCCTGTTACCACCCGCCTCCCCAGGTTCCCGAGGACTTCATCTCCCGGGAGCTGTTTGACACCGTCCAAGTGTACATCATCACCAAGCCAGAGCTGCAGAACAAGCTCATCACTGTGTGAGGCCCTAGCTGGGGGAGTTCTGTGGAGGCGTGGACAGGCTTGTGAGTGGGAGGAGCCTGACTTTGTTCCCACCTTTCCCCCTGTCCAGCACAGCTATGGAGAAGAAACTGATCGGCTGCCCTGTGTGCATCGAGCACAAGAAGTACAGCCGCAATGCTCTGCTCTTCAACCTGGGCTTCGTGTGTGATGCCCAGGCCAAGACCTGTGCCCTCGAGCCCATCGTCAAAAAGCTGGCTGGCTACCTGACCACACTGGAGGTCTGCCACACTGTGGGCTTGGGTGGAAGGGCAGGCAGAGTTGGGGAACACATATCTCCAAAGCTCTCCAGACCTAGGAATCTGCCAGGACAGGATGCCAACCAGGGTTCACAGAGTGTACCCACCATGCTGTCCATGCTCCATCCAGCTAGAGAGCAGCTTCGTGTCCACGGAGGAGAGCAAGCAGAAGTTGGTGCCCATCATGACCATCTTGCTGGAGGAGCTTAATGCTTCAGGCCGGTGCACTCTACCCATCGGTATGGACCAGCCTCTGCAAGGACAACAACAGAAGGGTAGAGGAGGGATGGGAAAGTGACAGGGGAAGGTGAACCCAGCCAAGGACAAACTCATGAACAAATTCGTGGCTAGGAAATAGCCATGAGCTGAGCTGATGTTGTCCATGGTCTAGTGCATGATGGGGCTGGGGATGGGGCAGGAGAGGCCAGCAGAGCTCTCTAGCTCTTTGCATGTTCCTTCCCTTCTCTGGACCTCGGTCTCTCGCTCCATAAAAGGGGAAGATTGGCCCTACCCAGAGCCACCTGCCTGCCTCAAGGGTTGCTGGGAGGACTAGATGGTAATTGAAGGTCTCTTAGAAGAAATATGTGTGGTGCACCCTACAGATGAGTCCAACACCATCCACTTGAAGGTGATTGAACAGCGGCCTGACCCTCCTGTGGCCCAGGAATATGATGTACCTGTCTTTACCAAGGACAAGGAAGATTTCTTCAACTCACAGTGGGACCTCACCACACAGCAGGTGCGCCAGCCCTCCCGGGGTATCATCACCTAGGGCCGGCCACAACCCTGGCCTCATCCCACCCCCACTGACCAGCCCTGTCCTGCCCAGATCTTGCCCTACATTGATGGTTTCCGCCACGTCCAGAAGATCTCAGCCGAGGCAGACGTGGAGCTCAACCTCGTGCGCATCGCCATCCAGAACCTGCTGTGAGTGGGGCAACAATCACACCCATGACAGGGTCGCCAGCCAGGGAAGAGCCTAGGGGTCCCAAGTATGGCGGCTGGGAAGGCACGGCCCTCAGAAGCTGAGCACAGCTATCTCCCCCAGGTACTATGGTGTTGTGACACTGGTGTCCATCCTCCAGGTAGGTGAGTCTGGGGCCTGGTTATGTGGAGAGTGAATCATGTGACTGGGCCAGACTGGGGCTGTGTCAGACTTCCAAGCCCCTCACTCAGGCCCCTGTGCCTCCTGCTGCCCTCCAGTACTCCAATGTGTACTGCCCGACACCCAAGGTCCAGGACCTGGTAGATGACAAGTCCCTGCAGGAGGCGTGTCTGTCCTATGTGACCAAACAAGGTAGTGGTGGGCTCTGGGGGAGGCCATCTCGGGGAGGGCAGGGCCACCTGGAGAGCTGACCACTGGCATCCACAGGGCACAAGAGGGCCAGTCTCCGGGACGTGTTCCAGCTGTACTGCAGCCTGAGCCCTGGCACTACTGTGAGAGACCTCATTGGCCGCCACCCTCAGCAGCTGCAGCGCGTTGATGAAAGGTTGGTCAGAAGGGGATTCCCTGGGGTGTGAGGGGAGTGCCTGAGGGCAGATACACTCTCTCTGTCTCTCCATAGCCTCAGGTTAGAAAAGAAGCAGATTCTCAGGGAGCAGAATCATGTGGCACTGGTAGTCCAGGCAGCCTTCCTGGAGGTGATGAGCTTGGAGGCTAGTCCAGTCACTGAGACAAAATTGGAGGGGAGACTGCAGGAAAGGATTGGGCTGGCTGGAAGGAGGTCTGGCCAGGGCATCACCCCTCTCTCCCTCGACCCACACCTCAGGAAGCTGATCCAGTTCGGGCTTATGAAGAACCTCATCCGGAGACTACAGAAGTACCCTGTGCGGGTCTCTCGGGAGGAGCGGAGTCACCCTGCCCGGCTTTACACAGGATGCCATAGCTACGACGAGATCTGCTGCAAGACAGGTAGAGGCAGGCAGGACAGCTGGAGTGGGGTCAGGGCGGGGTGGCCAAGCCAAGGGTGCTGGCCTCACCTCCACCACCCAACTCAGGCATGAGCTACCATGAGCTGGATGAACGCCTGGAAAACGACCCCAACATCATCATCTGCTGGAAGTGAGGCTGGCGAGGGCTGGACCCAGACACAGCTGTAGCTACTTTCTCCCGTCTGGTGCATGAAGGCTAGACCAGCAGACTAGTCCATCCTGTCTCAAGGTTAATCCTCACTTCTGTAAATAAAGTCATCCATTTCAACCTACCTTTATTGAGTACCACCTCTGAGCCAGCCACCAGAGAACCAACAGTGGATGAAATAGCCATGGTCCTGGTGCCCTGGAGCGCCATCTGGTGGGTAGGGCCCGCAATGGACAAATAAATGTACCCGCTAATTAAAAACTGAAAGAAACAATCTGGAAGATGTGATGAAGAGAAGTGGGGTGGGAGCTGGGGCTGCTCTGGATTAGAGGAGCAAGGAAGGTCTTGTTGAGGTGACTGACTTCAACTGAGCCCTGAAGGAGGAAGAGTATTCCAGGGAGAGGGAACAGGTGCAGAAGCCCCAAAGCAAAAACCACTTTGGGATGTTTGAGGAATCCAAGGGAGGCCCATGGGGGCTGGAACATCAGAGGCAAGGGGGAGAGGGGCAAGGAACAAAGTCCCGAGGTAGGAGAAGGAGCAAAAGCCTGATACTGCAGGGCTGCTGGTGAGATAGTATTTTGAGGGCCACAGGCAGCCATAGTCACCCTCATGAGAGGGAGTAATGTCTCGTGTACACTTTTAAAGGACTCCAGCTGCTCCGGAGGATCAGGAGTGGAAATGAGTCCAGTAAAAGGGCTCAGTACTGACCTCACGCGAGGTGATGGCAGCCTGGACTAGGATGCAGAGAAGTTGTGGGCCCTGCGCAGTATTTGAGGGGTCCTGCCAACAGGTGGAGCTGGGTGCGAGAAATACTGGAAAGAGGAAGCCAAGCCCCAGGCGGGGGGCCGGGATAGAGGAACTGCTGGAAGAGCTGGTGGGGGCGGGGCGACTTGACGTCCGTCCGAGAAAAAACCCTAGGCCACGGGAGTTGGCACTCGGGAGACCTGTAAGCCGCAGCCGGTTGTGAGGGAGAAAATTCCGGGAATCCGAATAGAGTTGCTGCCCGCAGCCCTGCAGGCGAGGCCCACCTGGCGGTGCAACCCCTGAGCGGGCGGGGGGAGGAGCACTGCGCAGGCGCCGAGCTAGCCGTTTCCATGGCGGCGAGAACACGCGTCTCAACCGCTGCACAACGGACGTGCCGGACACCGTTGTGCTCCAGTGTGTCGGCACCCCCGCCTCGGCGCCCGCTGCTGCCGGGAGTCAACCGAACCCCGCCTTCTCGCTCTCTGTCCCCGGCCCCGACATGGGCGATCTGGAGCTGCTGCTGCCCGGGGAAGCTGAAGTGCTGGTGCGGGAACTGTGCAGCTTCTCGCTGCGCGAGATGGGCTCCGGAAGGTGAGGCAGCTGGATCAAGGGGCAGGCGGAGTCATGGGGTCAGAGTCTTTGAGTGGGGGGAGTCCTGACATTGGAAGGAGGAGTTGCCCAGTGTGGAGGGGCCCGCAGGTGGGGAGGTAAAACTCTCCGAGATAGGGGTATGTGGTCCTGAGCCACCTCTGGCCCCTCAGGATCAGGTTAAGCCTCAATGGGACCCAGCCCCCACCCCACTCCTCCTGCACCCATGTGTACCCAAATGCACACACACACCCTCTGGGGCAGGTGGAACCAGCAGCATGAGAACCTGGAGAAACTGAACATGCAGGCCATCCTTGATGCCACAGCCAGCCAGGGTGAGCCCATCCAGGAGCTGCTGGTAACCCATAGAAAGGTATGCTGGGAGTCACAAGCAGGGTTCTTGCCTTCACGCCAACACCCCACCCCACCACTCTACCCTTCAGGAGCACCCTGGGTGCCTGCTCTTCCCTCCAGCTGGTATACCTGTCCTCCCCAAAGGAGGAGTATGTTACACATTTGCTTTTGTATCCCTGTTGGATATGACCATGGCATGCCAGGCCAGGTGCAGATCGTGGGTTGACTAGGGCAATAGTCATGGATCATAGAACAACCTGAGCTATAGGTGAGGGTCCAAGTTCCTGAATAGACTGTCAGGCTGGAGGGGGCCCCCCACTGAAGTGGGGTTGGGGCTTTGGCATGGAAGGAGGCAGCCTTCCTACCGAGAGAGAGAGAGAGAGAGAGAGAGAGAGAGAGAGAGAGAGAGAGAGAGGGAGAGAGA